CAAGTGATTTTAATATTGTTACTTCAGCTAATTCTAACCATGATATTCTTTTTAAAGAAGGCTTACTAATTGCTCAAACTAAACCATGGCTTAATAATAATGTTCGATCTTTTTAAGTGTTTCAAACTCTTGTTAATTTACTAACATCTTTTAACACTGAAGCTAACCACTTGACATTCCTTTTTTAATCTATATCGTTCACTAAACTCAGTATCTTGTACATGTCAATATACCATGAACATTGTATATTTCTAATTTTTAACCATTTGTAATTGTATATCATATATTTTTTCAGAATTTGTTAAATAGCTTAACTGTATCTAGTCTGACGATGTCGCTTGTAATGTGACGAAACGTTACTGAATCAATAAATTATTTTTTTATATACCAAATGTTTTTTTTTTTAATATGTGCTCGTTTACTTGTTATTTGCTGGGCAATGATGTTTTTAGAACTTGTAGTTATGTTTTATCATATCTAAAAAATGCTTGTGCTGCGCACACATTTTAAATATGATAAAACGCTCCCTACATGTGTTTTAAAATAGTACTTCAATGCTTATAATTTCTTGCTTTTGTATATATAATTATAATACTGTTAGTGGCAAAGCTAGCTGTAGCAACAGGTCATGCTATGCAAGTTTTTAATGAATTGCATCATTCAAATAAATGCAAGTTTGTTAACATAGAATGACCAGTTGCCATGGCCAGCTTGCCACTGAATACAGTGCAATGTTTATATAAAAATACTAAGTTTTTGTTCCAGTTATCATTTTATTTCCACCTTCAAGGTTACCTCTATCAGAGAACAACCAAACAAACTGATGACAGGGAGACAAAATCTATTTGTTGACATTTTCCATTTAACATCAGTAAATATAATATTTTGTTTGTGGAAACACCATGTAAATTTATTGCTGCAAACTTTATGTGGTGTTTCCACAAACAAAATATTATATCTTTTATTAATCACCATGCAAACCTACAAAGAACTTATTAATATCAGTAACATTAAAGGTGATCTACAGTCCGATCTGCGCATGTGCACAAATGAGCCCACTTTTTATGATACAAACAGTTTAACTATGTTTTGAGTTCTTCAAAAGCCTAATTGTTGTTTCTTGATCATTTATTATACTCTAGAAGCTTGAAAATATAAATAGTTGTCGAATAAAGCTCAATATTTTGGACACAAAAATGTAAACAAAGGCTTTGTTTACATACGGACTGTAGATCACCTTTAAGGTCTAAAAATTTTTTCTCACCATTATTTACATATAAAAAAACGTTCCAAATAAATTTTTAAAATTATACCTTTGTGGCCCCCCTTTTGCAATATATCATTCCAGGAGGGTGCAAAACAATTGATCACAACTGTACAGGTCTGCCAGATAATAGAGTAATATGGTGACCATATTTACCATTGCTTGTACATACCTGGCATGTTTGTGTGCGATATTAGGCTGCGTCCAGACTGGGTGCCCGGCACTGGTGCCCGGCACTTGTTTTGGCTCCCAGTTTGAACACGACGCTTTCAAATGAAATTGGGCACAGTGCCCAAGAACGGGCACTACCTCTAGAGGTAGTACTCAACAACGGCACTGTGCTCAACATGTTTTGTGAACCATTTTGAACATTGGGCACCAGTACCGGGCACTCAGTCTGAACGACCCCTTATACATTTGAAATGTGACAAATTTTTCCCATACTGCGCAACAATTTTGGGAGCTTGGTAGCGAATTTGATAATTGAAAAATTGCTCAAATTGCTTTGTTTTGTGCTTATTTTTATTTTGTTTTTGGTTCATATAGAAGACAAAATCCATATTTTTGGCAAAATGAGCTAGAAAATATAGAATTATGCCTCATGAAAACGCCATTACTTTCCACAAGCAATTGAATGTTGGGCAGTACATGCAACAAAAAAGCTAGGTTAGGCTGGTTGGCAGTTAAAGAGAAGAGCAAAAAAACTAAAAATACAGCTCAGAAGCTTAAGCGATTGGATGTGAAGGTAAGAGACGTTCCATATATTTTTGTATTTCTTGTAATCGAGTTTCTGATCTATCATGGTGTTTGTACTGATTCAATATATATTATCATATTTTGAACTGACATACTATAATTCACATTTATCCTTGCTATGAGGGCGATTTGTTTGTGCACAATTTACCATTTAAGTTTCTTTACAGTTTTGCGAATATGCTAATGACTGAGACTGTATAGTGTATCACTTATAATATACCTATTTATAAACTATATACTGTATAGAAATTATATATTAAATAACTATATACTGTATAGTATATCACTTATAATATACCTATTTGCTGCCGAACCTCAGCTCAGCAGAACACTATTCTTGACATTACATGATGTTCTTGCCTTTTCATGTTCAGTCTCCCAGCCAAGTTATGTATAGTTGACATCTTGATCTGCTGTTTTGGGAGATGTCTGATTTCCAGGGGGCTCATTAATTATTCAAGTTCATTTGTAAAATGAGGGGGTTGTTCAACAAAATTTTCTTCAATGTTGTGAGCAAGCTACTCAAATATGTGTCATTCAAGTGTTTTGCCTGAAATTTTCAGTGCATAAAGGGATTATATCTGTAAGTTTAGTTTAGTTTATATTATATATTCAGTATCTGTTTTTTTATCGATGTGATGAACCAGTTTAATAAAGTTGCGAATATCGAGGGAAACAGAGTTCATGTCTCTGCTATGAAGACTGCTATGTCTGTGACTACCTACTTTATGGCTACATACTAGAAATCTCTGGCTACTATGTATATGAAAGAATTTAAGTGTCATTATAAATAATTAAATACACTATAATTTGTCAAATTAAATACACTTCAAATCTCTCAACTCTATTACTTTGCAAGGTTCATATCCTCGGTTCGGTGCATGTTATGAAGACAAAAATACTACCATTCCATTCTGTGAAACAAAATATCCTAATTCCTAACAATAGATTTAATGGTCAAATGCGCACAATATATATACCTTTAAGGAGGCTCCCTGCAGTTATTCTTGTTTACGCAATAATTCCGTAAAACAGGCTTGTTCGTGCAGAACGCAAATTCTTTTCGACTTGGTGGCAATATTGGTCACCTAAGGAATATTTCAAACTAGATTTCGACAATGTCAGTGTTCCCATGGAAATATGATGACAGCATGAAGCCTTCCATTTTAACCATAAATGTGCCACTATCTCAAAAATGATGTCGGTAACCTATCTTTTTTATTGCATATATCAATAGGGAATGATACTCTGTAACTGTGGTGAAAGATTGAAAAAATTCTTTAGCATGTGATTTTTTTAAAAGTGAAAATTTTAGTGTGAAATTTCCACACTAAAGATTTTTTTAAAAATTGAAATTTATAAAAATTTACCACAAAATAAATTTGTGGTCAAAATTTGAATATAGGTCACCGATGAAACTAATGAGTAAAATGCAAATGAAGTTAGAAAATAGCCTCATGTAACTCAGGGGCGGATCCAGACCGATGCCAGCGATGCAAATGCATCGGTCAAAATTGAGAAATTGTGACTCATGTTGCTTGAAATATATAGATATATAATGTCACCAATAGTCAAAGCACTCAGTAATAAAATATCTCCTACCAACCCGAACATATTTGCTTAAAATTGACTCCATGTCAGGAATACACTATTTAGGATGAAATCCAATTTAAATAGTCTCAATAACAGTCGAAATTGTCAAAATAAGTCCAATATGCGACGTTACGATCGCAAATGTCTACTTTCTGTTATTTTGCGACACTTAAGCGTCAATATTTTCACGACAAAATGTTATTTTTTACCGCATCCTTTGACGTCACAGTTGAATCAAAATGCATCACCTAAGTTTGACATTTTACAGAGGTTTGCTTGTCTGGAGGCAAACCAACGCCAATACAAAACTTGACAGCTTGCTTCACTGAGGAAAATTTCATCTCTGTTTACATGGGATTATATCCTGTACCCAGACCTTCATTTTTCTCACAGCTGGCGCGCAAAGAAAAATGTATTGTTTTGATAATTGGTTAATGCTACAATTAAATAATGATATATTTAGTGATTGTAACTTTTTTTAGCTTGTTATTATGTGAAATTGACATTCCTTCTGGCACATTTTGATTGGATACCAAAAATAAAACTAGTGTGGGGGTGGAAAGTAACTCTGAATGGATCAAGACTTGCATCAGTCTCTGTATGTAATTACAGAGCATAATTGCAGGTTAATGAAATTTCTAATAGTAATGCAACATTGGTTAGAAGACTAAGGGGGAGTTTACATGAAAGGTAATTGTTTCAAGTTGCAACTTCCAGTGGTATCTCCTATTTCATTTCATTTTCATTTTATATGGAAATGAGCTGGCATTCCTCGTGACAGCTAGGGGTCTTACTTTCCATTGCCTGAGTTATTGGGCAATTACTGTACACTAGCTGGATATTTTGCAAACAAAGATGATTACCTGGGCTTGCTCGCCTAACATAGTTGAGTGTTTATATGCTTGTCTGTGCAAATATAATTTGATATAAGCTGTATATACTGTATCATATGACATTATATAATAACTACAGTGAATCACGCAATTTGATTGGTCAATAGCCGTGCAGGATGAGACAATCTTGCACGGAAAAATGTTTAAATTCTTCGCAGGATTTTCAAAATGGCCGAAAATCAAAACATTTTAAGGTGTGAAGACAGTGAAGTTTGTAATATATTAAACGAGCGGCAAGTGAACAGTCGAAGGTTTGCAGCAACTACAGACAAGGAAGTTGACGAGTTGGTGTCAAATGCACAAGCTCATAGCACAAAAGCAAAAACAATATACGCCGTCAACATTTTTAAAGGTACACGATAGTTCATTTTTAAAACAACATTCTCCATTTACAAGCAAAATAATTAAACAAATTCATGAGAAAATACATATCAGTAACATTATTTTTTTAAGAATGGGCTAAAGTCCGACAAATTACAAAGGAGCTACACGAAATGGACAACGCGACGTTAGACAACCATTTAAGATTGTTTTATGCCGAGGTCAAAAACCAAGATGGGGACGACTACAGCAAGTCGACTCTACTCGGTCTAAGGTATGGTTTGGAAAGATATCTAAACTCTCCACCACACAACAAAGGTATCACAATATCTGGAAACCCAGAATTTAAGAAGTCAAATGTTGTCCTCAACACCAAACTAAAATCCCTGAAGCAAGGCGGCAAGGAAAATGTACAACACAAACCTCCGCTCGAGCCAGAAGATCTCCAAAAGCTGAAAATCAGTGTATTTGCAGTGTATTTGATTGTTCAAGTCCCCTTGGGTTGCTGTGAAACGTGTGGTTCAGTACGGTGTTGTTTTGGTGTCGTCGTGGTCGTGAAGGTCAACGAAACCTAACAAGAGAGAGCTTCGTCTTTGCACAAGATCCCACCGGCGACGAATACGCGACGATGACACACAGTGAGGCATCCAAAAACCACCCAGGGGAATAAAGGATAGCGAGAGTTTCCAACATATTGGCCGAATGTACCAGACAAACGACGGATACAGCGCCTTGAAGCTCTACATCAGAAAGTTAAATCCGGCGTGTGAAGCATTGTTTCAGTATCCGAAGTGTAATTGGAAACCAGATGATAAAACGTGGTGTGAAAATCGCCCTCTTGGTATCAACAAACTTGGCGATATGAAAGATATCAGTACAGCTGCTGGTTTATCCAAGATCTATACAAACCACTGTGTAAGAGCCACTTCAATCATGCTTTGGTCAAATGCTGGCTTAACTAACCGCCATATCATGTCAGTTTCGGGCCATCGCAATGAGCAGTCCTTGCAGCACTACAATCCTAGACCATCTACATCCCAGCTAAAGCGCTGTAGTGAAGTATTAACTGAAGCTCTGTGCAATGAAACTGGTCAATCTGATCGACATTTTGCTGTGCAGCCAAGGCGTACCGTTGAAAGGACCAATTCGATGTCAAGTGCGACGACAACTCTCACTTCACAATCGATCGAGATCGACAATCTTCCAAACTTTGGCTCTTTATTTAGCGGTTGTTCAATCAGAAATGTTAACGTTAACTTTAATAAGCAACAGTGAACTAGAACTGTTATGTTATTATACTATATTTAAACGTTTTGCATGTATGAACTATAAAAGCATCACTGTATATTTCGTTGTTGTTTTGAAGCCGTTAAGAACATTCGTGGGGGGTAGCGAATTCCTCTGCCTCTGATTGGCTAGTTGACGATTCTTGTGAGAATTGCAAATTTCATCAATAAATTTAATAAAGTTAACTGTTGTTTCACTGTAGTTATTTTATAAAATAATTACCAAATGGTTTTATCGTGCAGGATTGTGTGATCCATGCACTTGGGATGTTGCTCGACTTTCGGAAAGCGTAAAAATACACTCGCCTTCGGCTCGAGTATTTTTTCGCTTTCCAAAAGTCTCGCAACATCCCTCGTGCATGGATCATGCAATCCTGCACAGAAAACCATTCGTTATTCCTTTATTCTCCTGACAGATTTAATCTTAGAATCAATGATAAAATGATGGACGGTATAAATACTGTATATAATGTAACTGGTGTATACTGGATACAGGTTATAATTATGAAATTTGCTGACAAAAGTGGGATAGTTTGGAAAATATATTTAATTAAATTATATATTTGTAATGCTAATTATCCCAGTATTATGTTTTGGATAGCCAGCATACCACCCTGAGGATTACGATTACCATTGATAAGACTTAGTGTTTGGATATATTTGACAAGATGTGCACTCATATAATAACATAGGGAAAATTAAATATTCATCAATACTACTGTGCAGCCTTTCTTAAAGGAGCACTGTATTAATATTAGTTGCAAGGCAGGCAAAAGGGGACAGATAGAAGACATATGATTAAATTATGTCATGTTTATCATTCTACAGTTTGGTATTGGTGAGCCCCTCCCAGGGGTTTTTGGGAACATGGGGGAACATGGGCATTTATTTTCAAGGAGCAGGGGATATCGTCCAAATGTATTCTGGGAACAAGGGAACTCTTTCATAGATTGTTGGGAACAAGGGAGCACCATTTTCCCAATGTCAACCTACATAAAATCTAATTACGATTATTCGTGCATATTTTTTGGAGTGCTGTTCCCCCAAAGATCCCCAACAGTTACTGGAGGACAAGTTGACGCTCCAGTAATACAGTATAGATCAGTATAAATCATAGCCTGTTTGCAGGCTAAAAAGTCAGGTTTTTAAAATTAAAGGTCATAAAATTCAAGATGGCAGCAAAAAGTAATGAAGATGAGGAGGATGTTAATACAACTCGACAATCTATGACACTTGTGCCAGTTACAGGTGCAATTTATCACAATGGGCTGGAAAAGCCTACAGAGCGATGGAGCTTTGAGCTTGGGTTAAATTTGTCGGAAGACAAATTGCTTTATACCATTTTGAAGCACTTGGAAAAAGGTTATGGAATCAAGGACAAATGCGCCGCTTTGAATATTGCAAAGTTCAAGCTTCAGGTTTCAGCAAAAGATTTTACACCAAAATTACCTGAGTGGCCTAAAGGCAGGATTTTTTCTATTGACAGCCAGGAACAATGGGATAATTGCTTTCCAAAAATACTTGGGCATGAAGGGGAACTTATAGGTTGGCAACTTTTTACTAATGTTACTAATGAACTCTCTCATATATAAACTTATACATGTGGGCCATATTTAATAGTTACATGTTTTAATACATAAAAATAGTGACTTTTATAGTGCGACTCAACGACGACGATATGTCAATACGTCATATGGCATAAAAGTTCAATAACTTGTTTAGTAATACAAACAATGTTTATAACAGGTGTCAGGTTTATCAGCTTCTTGGAATCAATTCACAAAATCACCACCCAATACATGAGCAACGTATCCTTCAAGAAATTGTTCTTATAGTCCAGTTATTTTTTTCGTTTTAGTGAAGGTCTTTGAAGTTGAAGTAGTTCATGTGCATGAGGTACTAATGCAAGTTGCACGTACAAGTTCAGAGGTTTGCTCAAGTAATTTAAATAACAGTTCATCTCAGAATGCGGTGTCAACTGTGAATAAAAAGAAGAAAGCTGGTCACCCAAAAACCACACACAGGAAAGAAGATGAGGAATTGTTTAAACGGTTGTGTCACAATCCAGATGGCAATGAAGTTGAAAGAAAAGAATGGCAAATAGCAAAGTGGGATCAATTCAAGTCAGGTTAGTAAATAAGCAGACCAGTTCAAATCACATAAGTTCATATAGATGCAAAATGTTATTATTGATATAAAAAAGATTGGAGCTAACATTTTAAAGATATATACTGTAGTACTACATTCCATGGTTTGCGTAACAGGTCAATAAATATCTGTGCCATACATTCCATCACTCATTTGAGTCAGTTGAGTGGCATTTGAAAATACATCTTTGGAACTGCATTTAAAGTGATTTCTCAAGTGTACTGGACATAAAAATCGACATATTTTGGCTGATCATAAATATTGTCACAAAGCATTTCCAGTATTAAAAATATGCATATTGCATAATCTAAAATTAATTAAATATTTCTATCATGAGCATATATTACCTGTATATCTATTTTTGTTTCTTTAGCAATGCAAAATAAGTTTGGTGTCCTTGCACTAAGCGAACGATGGATTCAGTGTGTTTGTAATAAGAAAATCATGCTTAATAAATCGCGTGCAATCAACTTCTTTCAAGCAAGTAAGTCAGTTAACTTAAAGAAAGAAAAACAATATGGGTATGCCAAATTACTCCCAAGTAATTATTTGGTACATTAATGTAAGTACATTGATGTCATTGGTGTGCCAAAATTAGATACACTAGACTGAATAGATACAATAGAATCAGACTTCTTCAATTATTGCACTTGTGTATTATGTGCTTTACAGTTTTGACACTTTTCCTTGGTGTCCTCCATCAAGTTACAAGCAGAACTGCATGCTGAAGCCAATATATTTGCTTATGTAAAGTTAATAAATTGGTAATATTGAAATCTCGCTAAAGTGCTAAATATAGGAATGAATTTGAGCACATAATTATATAATTAACCACAAAAATTGAGATTATACAATCAATTGTAGGATGGTTTGGTTTCAATAGGCAATCTGTTTATTATCAAGGGCAGATCAATATGGTCATTTTCCTTCTGTAGAATTGTCATAAGTGTTTTGTTTAATTTGGTTTTGAAGGTATGTTTCCTTTGCACACGGAAACTTGGAGAAATACTATTCCAGATAAAAGAACCAAATCGCGAAAATGAGCGTTTTTGGATTTCTAATCGTGAAGAATTGATGTAAAAATTCTTGTTCGCAGCTGCTCTCGTATTATATCTATGAATCTCGCATGTTTTGGTAAATAATTCTTGAAGAGCAATTGGTGCAACTTCATTAGAAATATCATGTAACAAGTTAGCGGATTCTCTAATGTATAGCATGTTGATAGGGAGGGTGTTTGAAGAGATAAATAGAGGGATAGAGTGGTCACGATTGTCTTTAAAGTAGATAAGTCTCAGCACACGTTTCTGGAGTTTGAGAAGTTTGTCCGTATATTTTTTGGCTGCATATCCCCATGCAACAACTCCATATGATAGATATGGCTGAATTAATGACTTATATATGTTCATTAAGGTATGGAATGGGACATAATGTCGGACTTTTGCAATGATTCCAACAGTTTTGCTAATCTTTAATGCAATGTAATTAATGTGTTGTTTCCAAGACAAATTACAATCAATGAGAATGCCAAGATATTTTATATAATCCTTACTTTCGAGAGGTATGTATTTTTTTGAATTATTGTCAAAAAGTTTAATAGTAGGCTGATAGGTCATTGGTTTTTGCGATGGTCGAAAGATTACAAAATTTGATTTTTTTATATTTAATGTTAGTTTATTAGCATTTAGCCACTTACAAACTTCCCTCAACTCGAAATTTACCACTGATTCTAAAGTTTTTAAACTTTTGTTAGCATATAATAGGTTGGTATCGTCCGCAAAGAGAAAGAAATTAAATACCTTAGATGAATTACAAATATCATTTATGTAAATTAGAAAAAGAAGAGGTCCAAGAACAGAACCTGAGGTACTCCACATAGGGTCTCCTCTTTATCAGATATACAATTTCCTACAAGAGTGGTTTGCGAGCGGTTTTTTAGGTAAGAGGAAAACCAATCATTGACAACACCTCTTATACCATAGTACTTTAATTTGCATAACAGAATGTCGTGGTCGACAGTATCAAACGCTTTTTTTAAGTCGATAAATATTCCACAAGAGAAATGTTTATTATCCATGTTACTTTGGATTTTATTGATAATATCAAGAAGAGCATGTTGTGTAGAATGTTGTTCGCGAAAACCATATTGAGAATCACTAAAAAATTTCTTAACTTAAGAAAGTTTTTCAATCCCGAGTTCATTAGGATTTCGAAAAAGATAAGATACCCTGAAAAGTTCAATTGTACAAGAAGCAGAAGCCATGTGCTTAACGACTCTTGATGCAAAGTTTTCCCTTCCTGTCGGTGTAAATCATTTAATCAAAGGACTTACAGCGTTAGATACTTTCAATATGATGAAGAATGAAACACAAGAGATAAATGTTTGCCTTGACCATTTGCAACACAGCAGAACTGATAGCATTATCGTTCAAAAAACCTGTTGCAGTCACTGTGCAATCTGCACTGAATTAGGAACTGTCTGTGATGCTTGCAGTGACAAAGGCCACACTGTTACCGAACCTGCTTTGCGACCTTGTGATTCTTGTCTGGAAAAAGAAATTCAGTGCATTAAAGCAGCAGTTGTGTGTGTTTCAGAGGATTCTGAATCAAGAAATTCTGGTGCACAAAAAGAGCTTGTGAGAGTAAACGACGAACAGTCTGACCTGTTTTTATCAATCATATCTCCCATTCCTGATGGTGTACATGGTTCTAAGAGAAAACGGCAGAGTTTCTCAAATTGGTTCCTGTTAGTAAATAACTACCGAATAAATTTGGTTCAACTCAGGGAGCTAAGAAATGACCACGCCTTACATTCAAAGCTAGCACCCTTGCTACCACTTAGTGCAGTTAGGAATCGTGATCGTCAAGATGTCGAATCTATAATGGAGATCTCGAGTCCATTGGTGAGAAAGATTCTTACAGATAATGCTAAAACTGTAACTCACACTGTGGTACCTGAGAAGTACAGGCTAAGGGAGGACAACAAAAGCGGAGTTTTTAAGGCACCCATTGGAACATGCATGGGTCTCTTAGGACACATATTTGTCAGTGATGTTGTTCAAGGTAAGGTATACAAGGTGCGAGCGAATCACTATCCAGCAAATGTTACTGTGGAAATGGATAATTTAGAACATCCTATTGGAGTTGCTGTTTTTAAAGACATACATTACTGTGTAGAATCTCAACGGAACACAATTGCCTTTAAAGATTTAACAGGGGAGACAGTTGTCGATGTAAACAAGTTAACTGTCGAGAAACTTAAGAAGAAGTTGAAAGACATTGGTGCATGGAATGAAGATTATAAAAGAAAACCCAAAAAATATCTTCAAGAAAAGCTTAGAGAAGCCTTAAACAACAGAGTTGCTTCGGAAACAAATCCAACACAACAGACGACACACCGCAGAAACCTCCCTTTGCATATTGACTTTGACAGAGAAATCAAGCAGCCGGTGGCATTATGTTTTGATCAAGATGGGAATATGTATGTTTCGACATTCACTGGTGCAGTATATGTTGTGTGGTTTGAAGCTCTAACAACGCTTGTGGTTTTAGGTAATGCCCATTGCATGTGCCTGCAGTACAGTTCGTGCATGAGGAACAGCCATGAGATCTGTCAGGTTGAGGCATTGGAAAAAATGAAATAGGTGGACCACCAGGATACCACAGAATTTCTTTTTCAGGTTTTCCTTTCTTACATGCTTCATGTATGCAGTTTTTCTGATGGCAACAAACGAGGAAGAAGACGTACTTTGCTGGAAGACCTTTATACATGTGCATTTCACGCAGTTTCCAAATTTTCTGAAATTTTGAATACATTTGTGGATTAGATCTTTCCAGCTCTTCTTTTTTCATTCTTTTTCCCTTTCAGAAAGACTTTCAGTAATTCGTTTTCTTCTTGATAAGCGTTTTTTCTGCTCTTTTAACTAGATGGATTTCTGTAGAGGCACATGGGGTACGTCAACGTGTGATATGTATACATCAATTGCGGATCCCAGATTATTTTTCAAAACTTCTTCGTTTACTTTGCCAGATTCAAGAGTACAAGACCCATGCAGCGTAGATGGAATGAAGAGATTGGCATGACAAAGGGCCAGACAACCATTTTGTAATTCAACACGATTTCGTAAACTAGCACTACTATTCCTCAAAGTCACTAGCTCAGCATGGCTACTACACTTTAGATGACGCACAGTCCACCAGTATTGTACCTCAAGGTGTGAAGGACCCTCGTCATACCCACCATCGACTCTTACGCACTCGATTTCTTTCTTTTTTCCTGTAACTGGGTTAATAAATGCGGACTTAGAGTGTTTTTTCTGTGAAAGAAGTTCCAGATCTGCGAAGTGCTGCAGAGAATTCTTGTTAAACAATACTGGAGCCTTGACTACACCCATACACACTTCTCCTGTGGTTTTAGTGCCTGCAAAGTTGTACGAGGTTGTTTGCAAAGTAGATGGATATTTGTTAACATAATCAGTTCTAGTTGTGAGTGGCTCGTTTCCCTCTACGCACAGTGTACCATGAAATCTGTGAGAAGCCATTGTATCTAGCCGAAATCCAGCCTGGTCATCTCTTCCAAGGTTAACAATGTTAGATCCGTCTTCACACTGAAGTGCATCTAAATTTTGTAATCTAGGCACTATAAAAGGGCATCTACTGCAATGCTTTCATTTACTTTACACAAATAGCAGAAGTTCCGGAATTGTCCATTCCTTTGCTCTTCTGTTGTATATATAATAGGAGCTTTCTAATACATGGCTCCACACATTTTTTGAGTATTTGTTTAGGATTTAGCTTAGGATCTTTCACATTATCATCGTTGTAACGTGCATGTATATATTTGTATATTTTTGTGCAATTTAAATATTGACAATAATTAATATTGTAAATAATTGTAATTCTGATGCAGGACCCCACTGAAAAACACGTAAGTGATGTGGATATCCTGGATAAATATAATTATTATTATTATTATTAAAGTGCCTAAACTCCCTACTATAAAATCCTAATGAGGAACCATCAAGAAAATCAAATACACTTCTTTACTTTTGTCAATGATGTTTTCCTTTAAGTACGCATATCTATTTTTCTTGTATTTCTGTAACTTCAGAAGGTTGATTTCAAAGCAAACCGTCAGTTCCAGAACAATTTTGAAGTTCTGCCCAACACATTACCGGGTATATCTACATTTATAAAGCCTCTATTGGTGGTAAATAGTGAGAATAGGCAGTACATAATGCAATTCAGAACCGAGTTATGTCTCCACAAGTAGTGCTGTTGGCTGGCTGCTGCAGGGCAATTGTTTAAAATGTGGTGCTGCATATAGACATCCCCTTTACACAACAGGCAAAACTCAGTGGGGATTAAATTCCAGGTTTTCAGATTTTTGTTGGTAGGTAATGCTAATATCAAGGCCCACCTTAGCACGCCTGACAAAAATGCATGCCAAAGTGCCAACATGCTTCAATTTCTTTAATTTTCATCCTGTTTCTACAAAATTTCCCATAAACATAGA